CAAGAACCATACACATGATTTCTTCACAACTGTTGCTATAGAAAGTATTGAAGGAACGTTTGAAGAAACTGATGGGGATGTATTATATTGGAAACTTCCTAACTTTCCACAAGGTTTAACATCGGATGACGACATAACGACGATGAAAAACATTAGATGTAAAGATGTTTATGTCATGAAGGATGAACATAATATTAAATTCACTGCTCAAGATTTATATGACAAGAAAGCAGACAAAACAGAGCTTCAAACATTAAAGACAGAAATACTTCAAACATTATATCCTATAGGCTCTATTTATACGTCAATGAACTCTACCAGACCAGAAACAGTTCTGGGTTTTGGAACTTGGACTCAAATAGTCGACAGGTTTTTGTATTGTGCAAACTCTTCAAAGGAAACAAGTGGAAGTAAAACGATTTCAGGTGAAAATTTACCTGCACACAGTCACTACATAGATTTAAGTACATCTCAAGCAGGTTGGCATAAGCATAAATTTTGGGATTGGTCAGCAATGAAAAAAGGTAAAGGATATGATGTTAAAGACGACGTTCAGTTTGCTATAAATTGTTTCTGGGGTAACACTCAGGGAGATGGAAACCATACACATCGCGTTACAGGATATACACAAACAACGGGACAAAGTAAAGACTACATGCCACCTTACATGACAGTTTACGCATGGTATAGAAATGCTTAGTCGTCATTTTCAACTTCTATAGCATATTCGTCAGGAGTTGTCTTATATTTGTTAGGAACTGTCTTTGAAAGTATACCACCTTGAACTTTGACAAGTTTGAAACGAGGTCTGACAATAGTAGTTTTATCTTCTGCTTGCAGTGTGTACATTTTGCCATGTTTGCCTAAAACTTCATAATATTCTCTTGTATACTTTCTTCTATTTTTACGAACACGAATGTGAGTACCTGTCGGGTTCCCATTGTTGTCATAGTCAATAGTATTTTCATATGGGTCGCGTTTAGGTATTTCTATTTTTACTTTGTCACCTTTCTGAAGTTTGAAGCCCGGCATTCTTTCTTGTTTGTCTCTTTTGACTAAATTATTAAATATATAGTCTTTCTCTAAGTCAGGGTTGTTTTTCATTTCTTCGGGGAGTGGTTTCCCAAACCTTTTTGTTTACGGCTATTGTAAATATTTAAAACTTGTCTCATCTTTGCCATGGAGAAGTGTCTATACTTGTCGTCATATGACATTTCATTTGCTTCACCACCTTGTGGTTGGTTTAAGTCTCTTAACATTTTTATACAACGTCAATGACACCAAGAGCAGAATGGTTTTGGTCGACAATGAAATATTGGTTTACATTTTTTGAACGCAGATAGTTTTTTACATCATCTGATTTGAAAGAACTTTCACAGTCAGATGTCAGTTTTGTTGGATGGTATTTGTCAACGAATATTGTCAAAGCAGTTTTCACATCTAAAATATTTTTGGACCATAATGGTATGGCTTCACAGTATCTTGTGTTTTGACCAACAAATATTAACCAGTTATGGAGGTCCATCTTCTCTATACCTCGGAATGTTTTCCAAGATATCCATAAACCAAGCATTTGGTGTTGAACTAAAGATTTTTATCATGAGTGCTTCTTTGTTGCCTTAGAAACATAGGGGTCCTTGTTTGGATTCGTCATTTTTTTAACCCATAAGAAATGGGTTTATTTGGCGCATTAGCAGGAGTTGCATCCAGATTTTTACCCGCAGTGGGAACAATAGCCAGAGGTGCATTTGGAATTGGAAGGAAGATTTTGAGTACATTAGGTATACTGAAAGAGAAAGCACAACCTATTATACAAACTGTACAGAAAGGTTGGGATGTAGCACGAGATGCAGCAAATCTTATTCCAAATCCTGAAACAAGAGAAAGTTCAAGGATGGATGGACAATGTAGGAAAACAAGCAGGAAACTATTATAACAAAGCAAATGACTACTATAACCAAGCAGGACACTATATGGACCAAGGTGAAAGATTCTTTAACAGAGATATAACCATGCACAACAGTGGGTAAACAATAACCAACCACAACCACCTCAAACGTGGGGAATGTAAAATTTTTTACTGAGATGAAATGAACAATACAGCATTGAGACAAATGGGTTCAAGATGGATTTGTCGACTTCCAGCAGTTACACCACGTGTTTGTCAAGTTCTTCCTATACCTCAGGAAGTTTTAGACCGACTTAAAAAACCTAAACACACAGTTGAAAACAAACCAAACTAAAATTTTTACTGAGATGAAATGACCGAAGAAGTTGAAACGGTAGATTGACACCACAAACAAAAAGTTCAGAACCATTGTCAAAACCTGTCAAAGAACTTACAGATGAAGAGAAAAATTCAATAATAGAAAGTGCCAGTCTGGAAATGCAAACCCTAACTACAAAGTCACTTTTCATAGAAATGGAACGGCTAGTATCTCAAAAAAAAACAGACTCTCACAAATAAAATATTGAAGTCTGAAGGAGCTTTCGAGACAACAGATGGAAAAGTTTACTTCACTGACCAACAGTTCATTATAGAACATCTCATTGACTTAGAGTCGAAATATTCTAAACTTACAACAAACACAAAAAGTTGAAAGGAAAACAAAAAACAAATGGCATATGATATTATGAAGATGTTGACAACACAACTGTTCCTGCAGGTGTGGTACAGTCAGAGGAACCGAAAAGTGACGAAAAACCGATAGAAGAAGAAAAACCAAAAACTGAAGATAAACCAAAACCAAAGTTTAGTTTGGAAACTAAACCAAGTCAACCTTCATTAGCTGGTATGGGTTGGCGTCAAAGACTTATGCAGCAGGCGGTTATGTAAAGTAAAGAAAAAAACATTTTTTTATTTTTATAAAAATGCCCCCATATAGAATGGATAGAAAGTCTGCTAGAAATAAAAGCAGAGTTACAAAGATATGGTGGAGAGTTTCGAAGAATTTTAAATATAGGAAGGGAAGACCCATAAAAGTCTATGACAAATTGTCTGGTCTTCGCTACGAAATGGATTTGGAAACAGCACATGCCAATTATCCAAACAGACTAGAGAGGTTAGAAGAAGAACGTCTTATGGACATGCCTTTCGATGTGTTAAACATTGCATGAAGTAAAAATTTATTTTTAAAAAGTGACATTTTTTTATTTTATTTGAAATGTACGCTGAGTTTGTTGGAGAAGACCGTTGGGAAACTTGTTTGTTAGATGAGAAATATGAAATTCACTGTTGTGAGTCATTTGAAGTCAGAAACAAAAAGACAAAAAGAGTTTTAAGCGAACGGGAGCGAAATGACGGATATGCTATAGTTAGTATGGGTGGAAAAGACTATCTTAAACATGTTGTCATTGCAACTCATTTTATACTGAATCCTAACAATTTACCTTTTGTAGACCATATAAACCGTATAAGAAACGAAAAGACTTGAAAACTTACGTTGGGTCACTCGTTCTGAAAACAATAAGAACAAAGGCAAATTTAGAGATATTGTATTCGAATTTGTCGACGAACTAGACGATGAAACAATTGAAATTACAGACTATGGAAGCATACGTTTGAGTTTTACTACTATAGCGAAGAACAAGACTCTTTCTACTTTTATACCGGCGTAAACTATAGGAAAATTACAATATATTTTACTAAGGCGGGCTATGCTTATGTAAACACTAGAGATACAGATGGAAAAAAAGTTCAAATACTTCTTAACAAATTCAAGAAGCTATATGGCATACCATTTTAAAACAATATATTTTTACATATATTAAATGCTTCAGGTTGAAAAACAAAGAACAAAGTACAGATACAAAAACCGTTAGACTATATCTTTACAAATGCTGGTAGGGCAATATCAGATGAAGAAATTTCATCCCGAGCATACAGGTTTTGACTATCCAATTCGTTGGCTTCAAAGTCCTTCAGATGCAAAGGCAATAGGATTAGAAGAGTTTTGTTTTCAAATAGAACTAACGCATTTATGTTCGCAGTATATTTTCATGGGCAGTATAAAGGTCATGATGGTCTAATAGACAAATTTGACGAAATGAGAATCTTTACAGTTCGTTCAGACGAAAGTCTTGAGAAAACTCTAAATGACTTTCAAACTCAAATGAACAAATATTATTGGGAATTTCAAGAAAAATACGACTCTTTACTAAATGGAACATACTATCTGAAACTAGAATATGACAAGATGAACTCCACCGTTTCATTTCAAAGGATTGAAATTAACCCTCCAAGAGATACACAGTTTTTATTTTGGAAGTAGACAAACGTTCTTGGGCACAATTTCTTCGTTACTAAACCAGAACGAACCATTACCACCAGATGGTCCATTTCAAATTTATACTTCACCAGCAGATTTGACAGTTTATAGAAACGTGTTTGACCCTCAAAATGTTATGTGTCATGCAAGTTTCAGTTCAAGCAACAATAGTTTTCTATGTATTGGTAAGGACTTTTATGACTTTGCTTCTAAATTCTACGAACCACCTAGTAACAGTTTTCTCTGACTTTCAAGTTTGGTTCACAACAAATGGTGTGCAACATATTATTCCATTGTACTATGACTTTTATCTCGAATTGTCTTTCATATATAACTACGGAAAAGTGCTGAAAAGTATTGAAAAATAATGTTTAGGGTAGAAGGTTAGATCTAACCTCTTTTCTAACCTCTTTTCTACCCTCTTGAATTTTCATGAAAACAATTTATTTTTGACACTTTCACAAAAAAACATAAAAAAGTGAGTTAAAATGAGATGTTTACTGAACTGGTTGGATGTCGCCTTCACAGGTTATGTAGAATGGTTGACCCGAGAAGTGAAGGAGAGACTGAATTGCCAATTTCATATGGGGTAGGGGTTCTCCTTGTTGGTATTTTTATCCAAGGACGTTTGTTTAGGAACTTAACAAGAGCTTCTCTTTTGGCGTCCTTTATGTCGTCGAAAGGAGTGTTTTCTGGTACCTCAATTGGAATTCCAGTCGAAGTCTCGAGATTCAAGGCAGCCCTTCCAGAAATAGCGGTGAACTTGACCTTGGGCTTCATGACCTTGCGCAAGTACTGCTTAACAACTTCATTTATCTCTATAAGGTAAATTGCCTCGTCAAATCCTTCTGGCATTCCGAGTCCTTCCATCCGACAGGAAAATATTTTTCCCGACAACTGGAAAAAAATTTTCCGGACAAAGGGAAAATTTTTCCTTCCGACAGGAAGAACTCTTCCAGTTGTCCGTCCGTAAACCATTCAAATTTTCGAAAATTGAGAACTTTTTGGTCGAACTTCAGAAAAAGTTTTTCCTTCCAACAGAAAAAGTTCTTCCTTCCGACAGAAAAAGTTCTTCCTTCCGACAGAAAAAGTTCTTCCTTCCGACAGGAAAAGTTTTTCCTTCCGACAGGAAAAGTTTTTCCTTCCGACAGGACACAAACGAATGTCCGACGTCCCTCTTTCTGAATGCCTTCCAAAGCCAGAAGAACCTAAAGAACCAGCCCCTGCACCTCAGTTCCAGCAAGTACCTCCGAATTTCTACCAATTTCCACCTCAAGGTTACTACCCACCACAAGGCTTCCCGAACTACCCTCCTCCTCAGCCTATGCCTTACTTCCCCAACCCTTGGATGTTCCAGCAATTCCAATCTCAATACAAATCGAAGAGAGACCAAGAGTTCGAAGAAGGTCTGAACCGTTTACGCAAAGATTATGCTACAGCTCCAATTGAGAGAAAGTTGTTCCCGGACCAAAAAATAATGTTTAGGGTAGAAGGTTAGATCTAACCTCTTTTCTAACCTGTTTTCTAACCTCTTGAATTTGTCATGATTTCATCGTACATGTTTTGTCATGATTTCATCGTAAATGTTTTGTCAAACTTCTTCGTAATGAGCGTAAATGACCAAAAAATATAATTTAGGGTAGAAGGTTAGATCTAACCTCTTTTCTAACCTCTTTTCTAACCTCATGAATTTTCATGATTTCATCGTAAATGTTTTGTCAAGACTTCTTCGTACATGCTTTGTCAAGACTTCTTCGTAAATGTTTTGTCAAGACTTCTTCGTACATGCTTTGTCAAGACTTCTTCGTAAATGTTTTGTCAAGACTTCTTCGTCATGAGCGTAAATGACCAAAAAATAATGTTTAGGGTAGAAGGTTAGATCTAACCTCATTTCTAACCTCTTTTCTAACCTCATGAATTTTCCCGAAATAAAAAATAAAGTTAGTTTTTATAAAATATTTTTTTTATTTTGTATAAAAGATATGATTTCAACAATCGGCACAACAACAATTCAAACAACAACAGCACCAAACTCGTTAGTTATGAATCCTACGTCAATGTTAGTAGAGATGAAAAACTTCATTCCTTCTTCATATACTTTCGAAACAAAAATCCAGAAGATAAAGCAAGAACTTTTAACAAGTAATTTAGACTGTAGTGCGAAAGATGAAACAAATGAACAGTATCTTTATGACATGCAGGACATTATTGACCATTTACCTAAACTACCTGAAATTCAGCAACAAAAACTAACCATTCCTGAATTCGACGAAATTGAAGTCAAAGCAACTGACTCGGTAGAAATAAAGAAGTTCATACGAAAGGTAAACTATGAATTCCTTGGTTTTCATTGCAACCATAAGGTTATGGACAAAGATTGCGACATGGTATATAAGAATGTTTCTGACATATATAAATCGGTTGAGTTTAAGACCTACGACAACTTTGTTTCATTAGCTGCAAAATGTGTTTGGGAAATAAGAGATAAAGATAGAAGAGGTAAGGTATGGAATGAACAGATAAAACCAACTGCTTCAGATTTAAAGAAAGCCATTGACGCTTTAGTTGTTTTAGCAGGTAAGGTTTCAGAATATAACGCAAAAATGAACCCACAATGTTCTAAATGTAAAGCAGCAATGAGGAAATATAACTACTCCGTCAAAGAGATAGAAAGAATGAGAAACGACTATGCAGACTTAAAGAAAGAAGCAGAAAAGCCAGCAGAAGATAAAATGGACATGTTAGCATTTCTGAACAAAAACTATCCAACTGCTGACGATTTCCTTCTATCTGACGTCAAGAAGAAGTATAAAGAAACTTTCGGTATCGTTAAAACATTCGATGTACTGACAGAAGAAATAGAAGCTACGAAACTGTTTAGAGTCTCACGAATTCATAACGTTTACCATGTAAAACGCTTATAAAATAACTGGGGTAGAAAAGAGGTTAGAAAAGAGGTTAGATCTAACCTTCTACCCTAAACATTATTTTTGCTGAATTCAGCAACAAAATTCTGAGTAAAATAATTTTTAGGGCATGTGTCAAACCGTTGAGTTTTCACAAAATTTTAAAAATAACGTTTACCATGTAAAACGCTTATAAAATAACTGGGGTAGAAAAGAGGTTAGAAATGAGGTTAGATCTAACCTTCTACCCTAAACATTATTTTTATTGAAAAATGACCAAAATTCTGAGTAAAATGGCATAAGATTGCTTCCCTCGGAAAACCGAGAGAAGAGATTCCGTATGAAAATCGTGAAATTTCTCTAGACCGACTTTTTTCGGTCTTGCCTAAAACTCATGAAAATCGTGAAGAACAGCGAGTAGGGAAAAACCGTAGTCGCCTAAAACTCATGAAAATCGTGAAGAACAGCGAGTAGGGAAGAAACCGTAGTCGCCTAAAACTCATGAAAATCGTGAAGAACAGCGAGTAGGGAAGAAACCGTAGTCGCCTAAAACTCATGAAAATCGTGAAGAACAGCGAGTAGGGAAGAAACCGTAGTCGCCTAAAACTCATGAAAATCGTGAAGAACAGCGAGTAGGGAAAAAAACCTGGTCGTCAAAACTCTATGAAAATCGTGAAGAACAGCGAGTAGGGAAAAAAACCTGGTCTTGCATAAAACTCTATGAAAACAGTGAAGAATTTGGCTCCTGGTTTGAAAAAATAAAATTAGTTTTATTTTTATTTATTTTTTTATTTTGTATGTAAGAACAGAAAATGACAAACATTGAGTTTGAAACAGTTAGAAAGATAGACAATGACACCAAAGTGGTTAGAATAGGTGATTTAAACGTAAGATACTCAAAGAAATACAACAAATATTCTTTGTCAGACATTTTATCTCCATCTGGAAAGAGACCAAACGACTGGGTTAGAATTGCTTCTACTCAGAAAATTTTGACAAGAAATCCTGAGCTTATGATATCGGTAAGATTCTATGGAACTACAGCATATCTCATCGACAAAAGTCTTATACCAATAGTTTTGTTATGGTTAGACCCAGTTGTTGGATATAACTTCATAACATATGGTTTATTCGACTCAGAACGTTGCAGTGAAGGCTTACTTTACATCGTTCAGAAACCGAAGGACTTCAACACAAAAAGATATAAGATAGGAAGGACATATAATATAACTCAAAGATATGACAGTACAGTCAATAGAGTCAAGGTTGTGTTTGTTAATGATATGAGAGCTGCTGAAACAGAACTACTTGAAAAGTTTGAGAAAATGTATGGTGCTCCCATAAAAGGTAAAGAAACGTTTGAAGTAGATGAGATAGATAAAGCTTATAAAATTGTTTGACGAAGTTGCTGAAAAAATACATGTAAAGCGTTTATTTTTGGTCTTTGTGTGAAGTCAGAAAAAATAAAGTTATTTTTTATTTTTATTTATTTTTTTATTTTGTATGTAAAGACAGATATGTCAACAACCGAGAACAACAACAGTTATAGTCCATGAAGCTATAATGAAGATATGAGTGGGTTCAGTTTAACAAACAACTCCGTCTCATTCGTTCGGTCAAAGACGATATGTACCAAATGCAAAGTATTTTGACAGCATGTTATGCTCCAGACACTAAGAAACCACAAGACTGGTTTAGGAACCAAAGCACACAAGAACTTTTGAGCGAAGCACAGCGAGTCCGACTTCCTTCGGGGTCGCCAAAACTCTATGAAAATCGTGAAAAATTGCCAAATGGTTTAAGAGGATATTATGTACATAGACTTCTTGTAAATGCTGTTGCAATGTGGGCTTCGCCTCGTTATGCTTGGTATATTTACAGACTTCTTGACGAAATTCATAGACAAGAACGTGAAGAGATGGAAAAGAAACTTCATGCAAAAGATGAAGTCATTGAAGCAAAAGACAAAAGCATTCAGAAAAGAATACCACGTTCGGTACCAAAAGGAAAGGAAAAGAACTATAAGTATATGATTTATACTGAAGAGATGGAAAATGAAGAAGACAGAGATATGGTTATGTTGCATTTAGTCAGAAGAAACAACAAAAGCTTTTACGACCTTGCTAAGATTTACAAATCTGACAGAAATTGGTTCTATCGCGAAAACTTACCGATTTCAATGACACCGAATGAAGATGTGAAACAAATAGTTCAAGATACGTTACCTCAAACACACTATGATATGAAAGGTTGTACAATTCTTACCTTCAAAGAAGACTTACCGCTACTGAAAGAAAAAATAACAGAGTATTTTGACAACTTCAAACAAGCAGAGTAAATGAACTCTTTATTTTTACGCTTGACTTCAGATGGCTCAAGTAGCTCAATTAGGTAAATTGCCTCGTCAAATCCTTCTGGCATTCCGAGTCCTTCCTTCCAACAGGAAAAAATTTTCCCGACAACAGGAAGAACTCTTCCTTCCAACAGAAAAAAATTTTCCATCCGACAGAAAAAAATTTTCCTTCCAACTGGAAAAATTTTTCCAGTTGTCCGTCCGTAAACCATTCAAATTTTCGAAAATTGAGAACTTTTTGGTCGAACTTCAGAAAAAAATTTTCCATCCGACAGAAAAAAATTTTCCATCCGACAGGAAAAATTTTTCCATCCGACAGGAAAAAATTTTCCTTCCGACAGGAAGAACTCTTCCTTCCGACAGGACACAAACGGATGACTGACGTTCCTCTTCCTGAATGCCTTCCAAAGCCAGAAGAACCGACAGACCCAGCACCACAACAGACTTACTAAGACGAAACACTTACATTTTTCAAGCTTGACTTTTTACAATTTGAACTTTGTTTGCGTAGATATGAATTCTGAAAGAAGTATGAGGGTCTTGTATGACTTTGTACTTCTCCCATAGTTCATGTCTGTCAAACTTACCTGCCATGGACTCTTTCATAAGTTCCATGAAATCGTCTTCGGACAATCCGGGGAAAAGTATTATGTCAGTAAGTATTCTCTTTACATCCTTACTTAAACTCTTTGCTGTCTGTACACATATTACGACTGAGATGTTAAAGTGTCTGAGCTTCTTAAGAATTCGACACATGTCTTGTTCTCTGTTCTTTAACAAAGGATGAGAGGCGAAATCATCTAAGATAAGAAGACATCTATGAGGGTAAGTCTTCCAATCGTAAGATTGCAATTTCTTCGAAATGTATTCTATCTCTTTCTGTTTGTTTCTGAAGTGTTTCTTCTCTAATATTCTCTGCATTTCCTCATTAGGGTCTTTGAACTTAGAATTTATATACTCATTTATAGCATTATACTTCAAAACTCTTCTTTGGTACTTCTTTATCCAATCTAACAACTCAGTATCCTTTATACATACTAACTTAGACTTCTTTATAATATCTTTGAACGAATTGACGGTTTGGTCAAATTGACCAGAAGTACTACAAATGACTACTAACTCATAGAATGGGTTCTTCTCATCTAGTTCTTGTTGTTGTGCAGCCATTTTAAGATAAGTGAAAGTCTTACCCGACCCAGGTGGTGCAATTAGACCTGTTATACCATTCTGAGCAAATAAGAACTTGTCATGTATAGGCTTTATCTGAGCATTTTCTAACTTCCTCTTGTTCTTGTTTAAAACATTCTCAAATTTTTTGTCAATGTCAGCAAACTTTTTTTCTAACATATTTTTAGAAAAATTAAAATTTTTATCTTTTAGAAAATGTCTAGCGATTTCGCTATCTATATTCGAGACAAACTTTTCGACAGCAAAACATCTGTCGACCATAAAATCTTACATAGTGTAAACAAGAAAGGTGAATTTGTTCTAAAGTTCTGTTTCTGGGAATATGACAAGAACCATAAAACATTAAGCAGAGAAGTCTTAAAATTTGTCAATGACAGACTTGTTGACAGAGATGACGCCTCTTGGAGAGATGAAGTCCAACAAAACTTCTTAGAATGCAAAGAAGACACATGCGCTGTTCTTGAAGATGAAATAAAAAACAGAATAGATGAGCTATTAAAGGACAAAGAACTTTTACATAAATATGGTTGCGCCAAATTTGACATAACTCCACCAGAAAAGAAGAAGAGAGAAAAGAAAGAAAAGAAAGTAGAAGAAGAGAAGAAAAGAACCTGAAACAGTTCCAGAGAAGGAGATATGACATGTAAAAATAAAATTTTATTTTTAGAACATTTCTGGGTCAATGTCAATGTTCTCTTCCTCTTTAGGGGCAAACACTGGCTTAGACTCTAAAATCTTTTTACCCAATTTACCTTGAACTTCAACTATCTTAGACTCATAATATTCATAGTCGTCTGCTTTCTTTGGTTCATAAGGTATAACAAGTTTGTATGCTTTGCCTTCTTTAAGGTTTGAGAACCTTCTGTCAAAACTTTCTTTGACTGCTAACAACCTTCTATGTCTAAGTCTTCAAATTTCGCACCATTTTTAGTCACAATAGCAAACTTAACTGGTTCGATGTTCCAAACTTTGCTGAATGAAGACTTTTCAAAATGGTAGAAGTAAACATTAAATATGTGAATGGGTCTAGTTCTTCTTTAAGTCCTGACATGTACTTGTTTACTGAAATATATTTCGTCATCTTTTCTATCGGATAAAAAAAATTTTTTTAAAATTTACTCATAAAAAATTTTCTTTGTATATACACCATTCTGAACATCTAAAAGACTTTTGACATTTGCCAAGAATGTTCGTTTAGAAGCTGCCATATAACCATATTCTTGACAATATTGTTTATACGAATCGTACAATGACCTTTCATCTAATGACACAAAGTCAGTTTCATCTATGAACAGTTCATATACACTCTTGTTTGCTTCTAACAATGTTTGTCTCTCTTCGGTATGTGGAATTTGTCTTGGATTGAACTTAGAAATATCTAATGTCATGAAATATGAGAACAAGTGGTTGTAAAAGTCAGATGTCAAAGTTTCTGCTAAGTCGTCAAAATATTCTGTATCTTGCATATGAGAATCTGACGTTCTGACAACTACATATCTTCTGTCAGAACTTTCTAACTTCATCGGAACAACATTGTTTGAAACCATAATGAAGTTTGCAACATTTTCACAAACTCTTTGGTCTTTATATTTTCTTTCAACAACTCCAACTTTATCTGTTATAAGACTCTTCAAAGCATCTGAGTTCAAAACTTTTGTTGTATCTATACTTTGAAGTTCATTGCAAACTATAAGTTTCATATTCTCTATTGAAGAGTTAAATTTACCGCAGATGTTTTCTAAGTTTGTCATATTAGGGCTCGAATAACCTTCTAACAGTTTGCACAAAATATCTGTAAAGAATGTGTTCTTACCTGTTCCTTGTTTTCCAATTATAATGAGAGCAGTTTCATTTTTAGCACTTGGATGTTGTAAGATGTTTGCAAACCAACATAAGATATACTCATAAACCTTTTCGTTTCCATTGCATATAATTTCTTTGACATGGTCTAACCAAGCTTCTATAATATTTTCTTTCCATTCTACTTGTTCATATTTATATCCAGTGAAGATAGAATAGAAGTTTGGAGAAGGTGTATAAAACTTTATACCACGAACTGAAAAATCTTCAAGTTTTGACAATAAGATATCCCAAGCATCTAACATCTTCATGCCAACTTGTACGACTTTTATTTTCTTAAGTTTCTGTCTACATTCTTGCTCAGACACTATTGTTGCTCTTGGTTTGTTAAAGACAACATCCCATTCTTTCATAACATAACATTCTGGGGCAGAGTCGACATAAATGACTAAACGTTTCAAATTCTCGACTGCTTTGTTATAGTCTCTAAATGGACACATATTTCTGAATGCTTGGAAGTCATAAAAATCTGAAACATCTATTCTGTACATTTTTATAAAAATAAAAAAATAATATTTTTTTATTCTTGACTTTGTTGTTGCATTTTTTCCATTTGTTGCATTTGTTGTTCTTGAGCTATTTGTTGTTGAAGTTGTTCTTGTAATACAATACTTTCACCAGTTGCATCTTCCAATTCGAAACTTTCTGGCGTCATTGACAAATACATAGGACATAAAAGTTTTACAGGAACAAAGTTTGCGTCAACTAATGTCAACGTTATACTTGCCAAAGTGTTTGAGTTCACTAAGGTTGAAAATTCTGCATTCGAATGAACAATAGGCAAAACACAGAGAAAGTATTGTTTATACGCATAAGTAGCTTTTGGTCATAATTGTTTCTGTCGACATTCGAATAACACTTTGAACCTAAGTTTGAAACAATATATAAGATTGGTGTGCTTAATGTCAATGGAATAGACATTCCTTGTATGACACCTTTTCCTGTTATAGGAAACTGTTGGTAGTAAAAACCAGAAATAAGTTTTGTATTATAGCTCATATCGTTTATACTAAACTCAGTCGGACATCCAAACATAATGAAACCTGCTCTAGTTGCGCACATGTTACACTCGTACGTAAAGTATTAAATAAGTCAACAAAACCTGTTGGTGGTATATCTGAGTAAGTATCTTCAAAGGAGTATTTTTTACCATTCACAACAATAAAGTCTTCTGGTGTCAAAAGAGCAAAACAGGCTTTAGTCGTCATTGTGTTTAAGGTTAGTTTACAATATCGTCCTTGAGGACTTTGTAAGTTTGTTGTTATAGAATTATATGACTCAGGGTTTTTAGTCGTAATAGTATAAACCATTATGTCTTCTGCCATTTACTTACAAATAAATTTTAATGAAATGTTGTGGTCGCATCAATATTTTTATAACGTCTGGGAAACTATATTTTAAGTTCAACGTTTCACCTCCTTTCATAACGTATATCTTGTCAATGGCATTATATGAAACACCACAGCAACTAATGTCGGGTTCTATTTCTTTGATGTTTATATCGTCTGCCTCTGTCAAAAGTTTCAATAGTTCTTTCAAAACTTCATGAGGTGCAATGACATATGAGTTCACTTTTACAGGTTGTGTTCGACCAAGTTTAACATTATACTTAAAGCTTGACAAATCTTCTCCTGAGTTTGAAGTTTGTCTTTCAGTTGTTGGTAGTCGTTTCGAATATCTGCAACAGAACTTAAGTCTCTGCTAACTTCAGGATATGTTGGTTCTTTACAGGAACAATTGTTATACCATTCTCGTCTTCGTATGGTTTCCCCATTTCAACATCTCTGTCTTTGACATTGACAATAACACTTTGACTGTTTGTTTGAGTTGGTGAATTTAACTTCACATCTGCCACCGCCATTAAACCTTTTGAAACACTTACGCTTCTATTTTTCGGAAATGACATTTTACTTCGAATAAAAAGATGGACGTATTCGAGATATCTCTTCGAATTGAAGCAAAACAAGGTTTATACTCACAAACAATACAAATACATTGACAGAATAGTTCTTTACACAAACAATGAAAATGTTATAGAATAGCAGTCTTTGCTGAACCTAAATATTTTCATAAAGCAAAGAAAGTTGGTATAACCGAGATGGTGAAAGTTCTTGACGTTGACCAAAAATATAACAACAAAACTTACAGATATTTCTAAAGGTAAATGCCTCACCCATTCCAAAGCCAGCAAGAACCGACAGGACCCAGCACCACAACAGACTTACTAAGACGAAACACTTACATTTTTCAGCTTGACTTTTTACAATTTGAACTTTGTTTGCGTAGATATGAATCTGAAAGAAGTATGAGGGTCTTGTATGACTTGTTGTACTTCTCCCATAGTCATGTCTGTCAAACTTACCTGCCATGGACTCTTTCATAAGTTCCATGAAATCGTCTTCGGACAACCGGGAAAAGATTTATGTCAGTAGTATTCTCTTTACATCCTTACTTAAACTCTTTGCTGTCTGTACACATATTACGACTGAGATGTTAAAGTGTCTGAGCTTCTTAAAAATTCGACCATGTCTTGTTCTCTGTCTTTAACAAAGGATGAGAGGCGAAATCAATCTAAATAGAAGACATCTTATTGAGGGTAAGTCTTCAATCGTAAGATTGCAATTTCTTCGAAATGTATTCTATCTCTTCTGTTTGTTTCTGAGTGTTTTTCTCTAATATTCTCTGCATTTCCTCATTAGGGTCTTTGAACTTAGAATTTTATATACTCATTTATAGCATTATACTTCAAAACTCTTCTTTTGGTTCTTTATCCAATCTAAACACTCAGTATCCTTTATACATACTAACTTAGACTTCTTATAATATCTTTGAACGAATTGACGGTTGGTCAAAATTGACCAGAAGTACTACAAATGACTACTAACTCATAGAATGGTTCTTCTCATCTATGTTCTTGTGTTGTGCAGCCATTTTAAGATAAGTGAAAGTCTTACCACCCACGTGGTGCAATTAGACCTGTTATACCATTCTGAGCAAATAAGAACTTGTCATGTATAGGCTTTATCTGAGCATTTTCTAACTTCCTTTGTTCTGTTTAAAACATTCTCAAATTTTTTGTCAATGTCAGCAACTTTTTTTCTAACATATTTTTAGAAAAATTAAATTTTTATTCTTTTAGAAAATGTTCTAGCGATTTCGCTATCTATATTCGAGACAAACTTTTCGACAGCAAAACATCTGTCGGCCATAAAATCTTACATAGTGTAAACAAGAAAGGTGAATTTGTTCTAAAGTTCTGTTTCTGGGAATATGACAAGAACATAAAACATTAAGCAGAGAAAGTCTTAAAATTTGTCAATGACAGACTTGTTGACAGAGATGACGCCTCTTGAGAGATAAGTCAACAAAACTTCTTAGAATGCAAAGAAGACACATGCGCTGTTCTTGAAGATGAAATAAAAAACAGAATAGATGAGCTATTAAAGGACAAAGAACTTTTACATAATATGGTTGCGCCAAATTTGACATAACTCCACCAGAAAAAGAAGAGAGAAAAGAAAGAAAGAAAGTAGAGAAGAGAAGAAAAGAACCTGAACAGTTCCAGAGAAGGGGAGATATGACATGTAAAAATAAAATTTTATTTTTTTTAGACATTTCTGTGGTCAATGTCAATGTTCTCTTCCTCTTTAGGGGCAAACACTGCTTAGACTCTAAAATCTTTTTACCCAATTTACCTTGAACTTCAACTATCTCTAGACTCATAATATTCATAGTCGTCTGCTTTCTTTGGTCATAAGGTATAACAAGTTTGTTTGCTTTGCCTTCTTTAAGGTTTGAGAACCTTCTGTCAAAACTTCTCTTGACTGCTAACAAACCTTCTATGTCTAAGTCTTCACAATTTCGCACCATTTTTAGTCACAATAGCAAACTTAAACTGGTTCGATGTTCCAAACTTTGCTGAATGAAGACTTTTCAAAATGGTAGAAGTAACATTCAAATATGTGAATGGGTCTAGTTCTTCTTTAAGTCCTGACATACTTTTTACTGAAATATATTTCGTACATCTTTTCTATCGGATAAAAAAATTTTTTAAATATTACTCATAAAAAATTTTCTTTGTATATACACCATTCTGAACATCTAAAAGACTTTTGACATTTGCCAAGAATGTTCGTTTTAGAAGCTGCCATATAAACCATATTCTTGACCAATATTGTTTATACGAATCGTACAATGACCTTTCATCTAATGACACAAAGTCAGTTTCATCTATGAACAGTTCATATACACTCTTGTTTGCTTCTAACAATGTTTGTCTCTCTTCGGTATGTGGAATTTGTCTGGATTGAACTTAGAAATATCTAATGTCATGAAATATAGAACAAGTGGTTGTAAAAGTCAGATGTCAAAGTTTCTGCTAAGTCGTTCAAAATATTCTGTATCTGCATATGAGAATCTGACGTTCTGACAACTACATATCTTCTGTCAGAACTTTCTAACTTCATCGGAACAACATTGTTTTTGAAACCTAATTGAAGTTTGCAACATCAAGTGGAAGTATTTCAGACTTTCAAGTATGGTTTACTACAGATGGAAGAAAAAGAAAATAATTCCATTATACCATGCGTTTTACTTAGAACTTAGTTTCATATACAACTACTATCGAACGGTAAAAATATAATTTTTTAATACGGTTGAGGTGTTGGATTTGGTTGCCAACTAGACT